GTGTATGTGTGTTTGGTGTCTTGCTGAAAGTACTCAGATGCATGCTAAATATTTTGAAAGTAGATCTTAATGTCGTGTTTCTCAACTCCTGTGCCATAAATCTTTCCTAGGTGATTTCCAGATGTTGATCAGTGTGTGAAAAGTACTCTTGTCTGAGACAGTGTATGTTACTCCATGGAGGAGTCTGTCCCATGAACATTGAGCTGAATGGAGTTTGTAATTCAGTGTAAAGCAGTTATAGTTTGGTCAGAAGAAGAGTCTGTGTGTATGGAAACTGTAAGAAATAGCCCCATAGTGTGTAACAGAGGTGGGCAGAAATGTTTTCCTCAAATCTTGACCCAAGGCTCAAGGCTGGCCAGTGGTCAGGGCCCTGGAATTCCATTGGCGTTGTCACACACCGCTGTGCTGGAGTAGACGATCTGTGTAGTGGTGCTCACCCTTTTCATCCTCTCACGTGTACCATCAAAATTCTTTTTCTCAGAATCATGCTGTAAATACAGAAAGGTTGAGGACCACTGATATTTGCATTTTCCGTTTTGAATTAAGCTTATAAATTTTAACTTGGAGACATTTCGCTTATATTAAATATTATGGATACAGAATTGTACTTGCATTTACTAATGTCTTTATTTGGGAATTAAAAGTTAAGTTCTGCGTTACTCTAGAATTTCAGGAAAAAAGCCAGCAAATTGATATATAATACTGCTGAAGTCTACCAATTACTTTTTGTTGTTGTTGTTGTGGTGGTATGCGGGCCTCTCACTGCTGTGGCCTCTCACGTTGTGGAGCACAGGCTCCAGATGCGCAGACTCAGCGGCCATGGCTCACGGGCCCAGCCGCTCCGCGGCATGTGGGATCCTCCCGGACCGGGGCACGAACCCGCGTCCCCTGCATCGGCAGGCGGACTCTCATCCACTGCGCCTCCAGGGAAGCCCGACCAATCACTTTTTAATTGGTATTATAAACCTCCTTCCGAAACCTGAGTGTTTTGTTCTCCAAAGTGTGAATATGCTGTGTGAAGTTTCTCTAATTGATTTGCTGTGCCCATTCCATTTGATGTATCATTTTTCACAATATTTCATAATTTGTGCTCACTTCTAATGAACAGAGTCGTTAGGACAGGCATGTCTAAGTACAACTGACAGCTAACATTAGGTGCCAGATGCAGTTTATAAAGCTGTGTAGAACTGTAGAGAACAGTTTAAATAAATTAGCACCTGTACATTAGTCTCACTTGCTGGTAATTTATAAGCGAATCAGTAGAGATGACATTTAGGTAAGTCATTGATCAAGTTAACAGCTGCAAACCCACTGCCCAGCTGGGATACCTAATTAATAGAGATTGCATTCCTGACCCAGTGCTTCCTTCTCCTGGATTGAGTTTGCAATCCTATTATACTTTGACATAAGCCTAAGAATATAGTTAAATACTTTGCCTTCATTTTAGGGAACACTTGAATTATCAGTATTCTAGTGAAAATCCAAAGATGTAAACAGCATGTTTACAAATGAGAATTACTTTATTCGGTGACTTTTACTTGGATTAATTTTTTTCTTTAGTTTACATTCTTTTTTTTTTAATCAGTACTTTTTTTGTTTTGGATTCAGGTAAACCATGCCATAGTCTAAGAAATTTCTAAAGGGTTCTATACTTGTCACTAAATGTATACTCCACTTTTTTTTTCCTCCCTGGCAGAAGCAAGGTTTTTTGTGATATGTTTTTTTGTTTTTGTGACAACCAACCATTGAACCTAAGCCATGCATATGTCTAACAATTTTTTCAAATGTGACATTACTTTAAAACACTTGAGAACTTTGCCAAGTTCAATTCCATACAAATTCCAGAACTTAATATAGGAAATATTAAGCTAGAGCTTACTGTAGGAAAATGCCCTTTGTTTTCTATTCCTGTGGCTCAGATTTTCTCCTGAGTGAATGTAAAACTGAAAGATAAAGGCAGCAACAACCTTAAATCAGAGTAAGGCAAGGTTTAGTGTCTATTTCAGGTATATGTTCATGGATATTGATGATGTTTGAATACCAGTGTGTTTACCTACGGGCCACATCCAAAGTCTGGTTCCTCAACTGAGAATAGGTCTCTTGAAACAAATGCTAAGCCTGAAACAAATAAAAATGTTAGGCTAGTAATACTGTTTTAAAGCTTCTTGAAGAATCATTAATTGAGTCCCAACTGATACATGTATTTTTGGGTTTTGTTTTTGTGAAAGGTTGGGTGTTTCTTAGTTTATTATTATTTTTAATTATTTATTTATTTTTGGCTGCATTGGGTCTTCGTTGCTGTGCACGGGCTTTCTCTAGTTGCGGTGAGCGGGGGCTACTCTTCATTGTGGTGCACGGGCTTCTCATTGCAGCGGCTTCTCTTGTTGCCGAGCACGGGCTCTAGGCATGAAGGCTTCAGTAGTTGTGGCACGTGGGCTCAGTAGTTGTGGCTCTCGGGCTCAGTTGCTCTGCGGCATGTGGGATCTTCCTAGACCAGAGATCGAACCCGTGTCCCCTGCATTGGCGGGCGGATTCTTAACCACTGCGCCTGGTGTTTCTTAGTGTAAATAATAGTTTTTCATGTAGATTGTTCAGAAGTGAAAAAGTACTTACTTCAGTTAATTGTGACATTTCTGTTAATCCGTCATGGTTGACAAACTTGGTCCAAGTGGGCCAAACCACAATTCAGATGTGAATGCCAATTTTCCTCCAATTTTAAGATGCTCGAGAGGGTATAGGCCATTTCCTGCTGGTACATGTTCTCTGGTGCCTGGTAAGTGCCACACACATACCAGGAATCCTAGAACCTAACAGTTGACAGGGAGGTTAACGCTGGCAGAGTCAGGTATTTCCTTCACCACCTTCCTCCAGTGGTTTTCTGGTTGACTTAACTTCACTTAGCAAAATATTTAAATTCTGCAATTTTTATCATTCTAATATAGATATTTCTGAATAACATATCAGAAAACTGCTTTAAAAAAGACTGTGTTTATGTTTGCAAAAAGAAACCTATGTATATTTTTTCCTACTCCAGTATGTATTTTCTTATTTCTGTTTCTCTTTCTTACACCAGTGACCCCATTCTAAGTATAGTTCTTTTGCATCTTGCTTTTCTCAGTCTTTTGTTCAGCTGTAGAGTACTTGATGGCATAGATGTACCTTCATTTATTCAACTAACCTCTTGTGTATGATAATTTGGTTGTTTCTAGTATTGTTTTCTTATAAATCATTTAACAGCCTATGCTGTGTTGTTTTATATTCGTGGGGGTGTATCTTCAGGGTAAATTTGTAGAAGTGGAATTGCTGCGGGAAACGTATATGTAGTCTTGTTAGATATTAGCAAACTGCCAACCCTGGAGGTTGTACACTCCCACCAGCAAGGCATCAGGGTGTTTCTGTAACCTTGCCAGCAGTATGCTGTGAAGCTTTTGAATTTTTGTTAGTCCTGTTAGATGAAAAGTGTTATCTCAATAGTTTTAATTGCTCCTTTTTTTTAAATTGCACCTTTTTTATTCTGAATATATTTGAGCCATATTTTTCTTTTCTGTACTTTAATTGGTCAATTTTCTTTTTTCTTTCTTTCTGAATTTTGGATGGTAGTTAAGAGGGACTTTCCCATGTCTAGGTTGTAAAGGAATTCATACATGTTGTCTTATGGTACTTGTTTGGTTTCATTTTCCAAGTTTGGCTCTCTGACTCATTTGGAGTTACTCTGGTGTATGGTGTGAGGTTTGGATCAAGTTTTATCTTTTTTCAAATGGCAATCAGCTGTCTCAACATCACTTATTAAATAAAAAGTCCACCTTTTCTTCTTCAGAGAAGGAAGGGAGAGGAGCCCCTGGCTTTTCAAAAAGAAAAGAAAGTTCACAAAGTTAGCATTCTGATGTGTGAGCCAAGTTTTTTGTTGTTGTTTTTGTTTTTAGTGTCAGTTTTATTGCCAAAAGCCTGAAGGAATGACGCTTGACCCAGAGACACAGCTGGGCTCCCTAATATAATTGAATATACCCCCAAATTATAGGCCACTACTTCCAGGAGCAGAACCTGGTCCAGCAAATTTGCTGCGTGGAGAGAACAGGCCCTGAAAGAGCAGCACTGGGTCTGCAGGAGCTGCCGGGTCATTTAGAGCTCAGAGAGGGACTAGGGTCCCAGGCCACTGACTTTCCGCCTGCCAGCACCCACAGAGATGAAAACACATGGCCTCTGTGTTTGTTTTTCCCTTTTTTTTTTTTTTTCTTTTAATTGTGGGTGGAGTGGTAGGTGGGTGGGTGTAGGAGGAGGCTGTAGGGGCCTATACAAGTTGGGGGCAGTCCTGCTCACAGGAGGTGAAGCGCCTTTGGACACGTGTGGGGGTGAGATTTGTCACAAGCACTGGGGTTGTTCCTGGCACGGACTTTGGGGAAAGGGCCAGGGATATTAAATGACCCGCCGAATAGGGGAAGTTGCCTACAGGGGAGCATCACATTCAGAATGTCAAGAGCGTCCCCACTGCAAAACAGACATTGAAGAGAACATGTTTGGAAACATGTAGTTTAAAAACCTCTCCCAAGTTCTAGGAAACGTTCAAAAGAGCTTCTGAAAACATCCAGATAACACGGTGGGTGGGATGTAGGGCCTGCCCTTTTCAGTCTTCTGTATGTGGACATCCGCCTGCCACCTGGGGCTGGGAGGATGCCCCTGGGCCCTGGCCCAGCACTCGTACAGGGGCTCCTCCAGTTTCCTTTAAAAAGGAGAGAGAAGGGTTATTTGTGGTAGCACACTCATGTTTGAAGCGGACACTTGAAAATTGTTAATAACTAGTTTTAACAGTTACAAATTTTTTTTCTTTTGGGGAATGTATATGTGGTGATTTTATTATCCCATTTAGAAGATTACAAGGTGAGATAATGTATGTGAAACTCTTGGTTCGATATCTGGCATATGGTAAGCACTCAGTTACTATTAGTCGTAACGTGAACTTGTTTTTATAACAATTGCTAATTAACCTTTGTGTGTATTTTCAGAGAGCGATTGCTTACCTCTTTCCCAGTGGTTTGTTTGAGAAGCGAGCCCGGCCAATAATGAAGGTAGTTATCTTCATTAATATTTTTACAAATTTCACTTAGGTTTATATGTTACAGCAATTACCTAATGCATTTTTAATTTATTTTACAGCATCCTGAAGAGATTTTTCCTAAACAAAGAGGTAAGTTTGTTCAAGAATGAAACAGATAGTTCTTTCTTTCCTACAGTGCTATGTTATATATCAGCAGCCACTCAGGTGTTATGGAGATGCCCTCCTATGTCATGGTAGTCGTGAAATAAGTCAGGAGTACTTTATAACTAATAATGAATGGCGTTTACAAACTGTTTCTTTTTAATTAAATAATACTAAAATTAGATCAGGTTAGGGTTTATGCCTATACTAATGTCAATTTATTTGCATTCTAATATGCCTTTTTGAAGAAGAGCTGGGTACAGATCTGCTGGAGACAAATTCAACTTTTTTTAATATGAAAATTTAAAATTTTTCTTCAATTTGTAAGCATATTTTCACTGAATATAGATTCCCTCCCCCCTTTTTTGACTTTTATTACTTTATTGATGTGATTCTGTTGTCTCTTGCCTTGCATTGTTCCTGATGAGCAGTTAGCCAACATTCTTAGCTGGCCCCCTGTTTTCTCTGGTTTCTTTTAAGATTTTTCTCTTTACCTTTTAAATGTGTAGACTAAAATCTTGAAAACATAGGACAAGCTTTAAGGTCACCAGAAAATAACATATTTACTATTTTCTAATTTACATTAGAAGCTTCTTGGATAAGCTTGGGGGGGGGGGCATTGTCAGTTACTTTAAAAAGTATTAAAGCCAGAAATCATTTCTTTAAAACACTCAAATATAAATTTATATTCATCAGTCTTTTGCTATATAGCCCTAGAGGGTTTTTCTTTGAGGATGTATCTGTTCCTCCTCATTTCTTTTGCGTGCCTCTGCCCCTGAGATATATCATCAGAGGTTTTTAGTTTTGATTTCCTTACAGTGGAGTGAAGAACTTAAACTTCCTAAGGAATCTGAGTGCAGAATATTTTTATATTTCTACCAATTTTCCCCCGACTACACAGAAGTTGAACAGACTTTTTTTTTTTAGTAACTTGCCTTTGAATCTTTCTAAAGCATTCAACTTCACTTTGATAGAAGCATCAACTGTCTTTTCTGTTTCCACCCATGTTTCATCTGTTTATGGAATACTTGATTCATGTAATTACAGAAATAAGTACAATTCTAATAAACAGGTTTTGGGAATAAACACAGTTGACTCTTAGTAGGTGTGTAACTCAACAGCGAAAATGTGTGGTTACATTAGAGGGTCACCTGCTGGCCACAGATGCTCAGTTTACAGGCAGCATTAGGGTGTTTCAGAGCTGATAAATAGAGATTGGTGAGAGAGCAGATATTTTTATTAAAAATGTATTTGTTTTGCATTGATGTTTTTGCTGAGTCACCTTTGTTCAAAGCTAGGCGTTCTGTCATTTTTCTCTACTTCTCTTTACATGATAATTTTTATTTTGAATCTTGTTATAAGTATTTTGAATCTTTTAATAAATATTCTGTCTTTTGTATTTTCTGAATTCTTAGATGTGGCTGATAATAAACTATGACATCAATTCAATTAATAGCTTCTGGGAAGATAATAGATGAAGGCTATCTTAAAAGTACACATCAAATTTAAAGATGCAGTTCAGTTTTCTAGAAATAAAACTATGCACAAGGCACAGTAACTTACACTTAGTGGCTTTTCTTAAATGTTTGTAATGATAGTGATTTTTTTCCCCTTTTTTTTAGTGGGGGAAAAAAATTACTTTTTTTCCCCCCATTTTTCAACCCCTCAGTCTCCTCACGTATGTCTCTTCCTCTCTTTGTTCTGTATATCTCTCCTAGTTGCATCTGTTCTTGTATATCTGCCCCTCTGAGACTGGTTCTTTCTTTCAGATCATACCAGCTTCTGAATATTAGAAAGTTGTTACTGCTATCAGCTGGAATGTAAAAACTGAAATGTCCGTGTGTCCCTGCAAAATGCCTGTGTGTTATTTTGGAAATATGTCAGTGTTGATAGGATTTTCTTACATTTCAGTGAAGTATATTTAACTGTGTTTAAACAGTATGCCTTTAGAATCAGCAGAGTACTTTTTGCCATCTACCTACCAATTTTGCTGCACTTTGTAAATAGGACAAATTGATTTTTTATGTTAAAAAAATCAGTGAACTTTAGATTGAATAGATTATGGCACTTGTAATGTGCTACCACTTCCCTTATTAAAAGGTGGAAGCTTCCAGATTGAGTTAACATAAAAAAGCTGCTCTACTTTTTAAAGTAAGTGATAAAAATATTGGGAAAAACAAAGATATGTACCCGGTTGATGACAGAAGCAAGGAGTAGCACCTAATGCCAGACAGAATGGAATTCAGGGAGGTTCGGGAATGGTTCAGTGAGACAAGAATGTTAATCTATATTGGTAAAACCTAATATCCATTAAGTGGATTTGACGACCATGAACCTTTTTGCACCAAGCATTTAGCATTGAAATGTTTAAAGCAAAAGCTGTTAGCTAAGGCTGTAAAGAATTTGAATAACAGCATGATTTTATAGTTACAGATACAAGTACAAAGAATACATTTTCTATGCGGATGCCAATGGAATATTAATAGAATATGACGTAATAGGTTGTAGAGAAAACCTAACAAATTATAAAAATAGAAATTTTGTAGATTAGATATTCTGAATTAAAATTGATAGAACCATAAAACTTTTGGGTTAAAGAGAAATCAAAATTGAGATTTTAGACTATTTAGAAGTATATGACAGTTCATATTAAGCCCTATGGGATACGGACAGTGTTTTATGCAGAGGCAAACATATATTTATTAGTTATTAAGAAAGACTAGAAATAAATGAACTGTTCAGTATTCAGTTCAAGAAGGCAGAAAAGGGCTTCCCTGGTGGTGCAGTGGTTGAGAGTCTGCCTGCCGATGCAGGGGACACAGATTTGTGCCCCAGTCCGGGAGGATCCCACATGCCGCAGAGCGGCTGGGCCCGTGAGCCATGGCCGCTGAGCCTGCGCGCCCAGAGCCTGTACTCCGCAACGGGAGAGGCCACAACAGTGAGAGGCCTGCATACCGCAAAAAAAAAAGAAGGCAGAAAAAGAATGAAATGGATGAATGAAGTAAAGATTTTTAAAAGAAGGGGTAGGACAATAAAACCAACTAACTCTTTGAAAAAACCAGTGGAATTGATCAAATTCTAGCAAGTCTGGTTAATGGAAAAAGAGAGAAAACATAAGAGGACAACATTAATAATTTTACATAATAATATTCAGAGGATATTTAAAAGTGTAAGATTGTTATGGGTAACTTGATTCTTATTAATCTGAAAAATATCCTAAATAATATAGTAACTACTATTTATTAAAACTTAGAGCAGGCCAGGCACAGTTCTCAGTGCTTTGCATGCATTAACTCATAATCTTCCCAGCAAGTTTTCATAAGTAGATAATATTGTTTTCCCCATTTTTCAGATGTGTTGGGTAAACTTACCCAGGGCTCATAGCTGGGAAGTGGCCGAGGCAGAGGACGTAGGTGGGCCCAGGCAGTTGTGGATCCAGAGTGTTGCTCAAACCCCACTCACACAGTTTAAAGAAAAGCAGAGTTCCCAAAATTGTCTTTATTAGGAAATGCTGGTTAGACTAAAAGCTGGAGAAGTCAAAGGTAATCAAAGACCTAACCAAAGAGGCACACAGCCCAGAAAGTTTTGTCGGTGAGGTCTGTCATACCTTGAAAAAGTTTCTAACTTTTATATTATGTGAACTGCTGCAGAGCAGAAAAAGGATAACATAAACTTCTAAGCTCACCTTAAAGAAACCTACACTGTATTCTTACTAAATTAAATGATAGCAAACCAAATACAGCATTATAGAGAATAGGATCTCTGCCCCCCACACCCCAGGAATATAAGGGTGGTTTAACATTAGGAATTTATTAATGTAGTCCTCTGTGTTAACTGAGTCCGGGAAAAAATATTTCCGAAGATGAAGAAAAAGTTATTTAACAAAATTCAGCATTTATTTTTTGGTAAAAACTCTTAAACTAGAAATAGAAAGAAATTTTCTTAGTTTGAGAAAGACTATCATGAGAAACAGAAACACATCAGATTAAAAAACCATATCATTGGATTCCTTTACATTAAGTTCAGTAATAAGACAAGTGTGCCTACACTTGCCTCTGGCACTCATTTTTATTTTGAAAGTCTTATCCAGTATGATTTAAAAAGGCAAGAAATTAGGAATAAATCACTTAATATGCACAGGTGTTATGAGTGCCCACTTAGAAAATACAAAACTAAAAACTATATAAGCATTACAGTAGAATATCATTATTTGGATATCTGAATACAGGAAACATTCAAACTGAATTGTTCTGAAATTTGTTAAAATGATACTCTTTTATAAAAACATACCAGAGTATAGGTGAAGCTGAAATGCTAGTCATGGAGAGATCCTGTGAGCCTCCTGCCAGCTCATGACGGCATGGTGGCCAAATCCACACAGAGAAATCAGTGTGGCATGGAGTATACTGATGACCTCAGTAATGTGATGGTCTCCTCGGTTACAAACAAATTGTGATCTTTCTCTGCTTTTATGTATTTTGGTGGACACGAACTATTTTAAAAACATTGAATTTCAGCTATACAAATATATACTTACATACACGCATACATACTTGTGGTTTTTTAACATTTTCTTCTGTGCACTTCTTGCTCATCTTTGTTTTAGTTTTAAGTCTACAATTAGCTTATTAAATGCTGTCCATAACTCCTTCTGCTAAGGTCTCCCTGGTCATCTCTTGGTTGAATGGAGTTCATTTTCTAGTAGATTCTTCAAAAAGGGCTCATAGATATAAATTCCCTGAGTTCTTATGTTTTTAAAATTGTTTTTTTATAGCCTTGATACTTGAAGGACATCTTGGCTGGAAGGTGAAAATCTTTGGTTCATACTTACTTTTCTTGAGTTTCTTGAAAATGCTGCTCCATCGTTGCCTTGCCTTGTCTGTACTTTTTGAGAAGTTTCGTGCTAGTCTGGTTATCTTTCCCCCTGGTGATCCTAAGGATTCTTAATCTAAAGCTATCTAGTAGCTTTATGAAAATATGGCATCAAGTTGATTATTGAGGGTTAGATTACAGTGGTGACAATGAGCTCTTTAAATAGATAGGTTCAAGTCTTTACATCCAGAAATAGTTTTTTTTTAAGTTATGAATATTAGTTCTGTTCCACTTTTTGTTTCTGTTCCTTGGGACTCCAGTTATATAAATGTTATTCCTTCCTTGATTGTCTTCCAGGTCAATCACCATCTCTCTGACTGTTAACTTCTTTATGTCATTTTCATTTTTTTTGGTTGTTTCCCTACTTTTTTTTTAAATGTCCTTTATTATGTTTTTAGGCTGTTCTTTTTTGGGTTACTTATAAGTTAGTCTACGTTTCTGATTCTTCCAACTTTTTCTGTTTCTCCCCTGAATTTAATCAAGTTGTTTCATTTCTTTGAGCTTTTTGTCCATTTGTTCTCAGTTTTGAACTTTTGATTCAGAGTGTTCTCCAAAAACTCCAAATGGTTGTTTGAGGAGATTTAATTCAGTTTGGAGTGTTGTATTTCAGTTTCCTTCTGTTCTGCCATTGGTTTTGGTGAGGATGAATTTTCATCAGCGGTACATTTGGATTATTCTCATTTTCTGTTTTCAATTTGTGGCAACCTTAAAGAAAAATTGGTGGAAACATGCCTCTGCATTTCTGTGGACAGAAATCTCCTATTTATTAATCCACTTAATGGAATATTAAAAAATAGATTGTATCCAGAAGATGACAGAGTTGGGTCACGACTTAAAAGTACGTTATGATTTTGGAATTAAGAGATTGAAACTCTAGAATAGAATCAGATAAAGTGGCCAGTTGAAAGATAATCATACAACTATCAATATTTTTAAATAACAAATATTATGCCCTTAAGTCACAAACAAAGAGGACAAAGATCAATAAATTTTCTATTTCAAAATGTGACACTTCTCCCTGAAGAAAAAAGATACAGTAAATTTAAAAAACAAGCAACAGACTGGAGAAAATTTGAAACACAATAGAGGTCTAATGTCTGGAATAAATTATTGTTAAAATTAACAAGGAAAACAGCCTCATAGAAAAATGGGCAAAAGGGAAAGAAGGTAATTCATAAATGGAGAAAATAAAAGTAGCCAGTAAACATTGGAAAATATCAGATCAGAAATAATGTCTGTCAATTAAGGATAAGAGATCATAATCACTCATCAGACTGGAAATTGCGAATAGCCTGTGTCAGCAAAAAATTAGAAACAATTTAAATGTTCATCAGTAGGGTAGCTAGATGAACTGTTGGAGAATCATACTATGGAATAGTATGATACTTACACAAGAAGTAGACAATGTGAATAGGCCTGTACCTGTTAAAGAAACTGAATCAGTAATTAATAACCTAGAAGACTTGGGTTTCACCATAGCTTTTTAGATAAAACACCAAAGTCATGATCCATGAAAGAGTTGATAAGCTGGATTTCATTAAAATTAAAATTTTCTGCTCTGTGAAAGACGTGGTCAAGAAAATGAAAAGACAAGCCACAGGATGGTAGAAAAATACTTGGAAAAGACATATCTGATAAAGGACTGTTATCCAAAATATACAAAGAACTCTTAGAAGTCAACAATAAGAAAACAAGCACCCGATTTAAAAATGAGCCAAAGACTTTAACAGGCACATCACCAGAGAACATACGCAGATGAAAAATAAGCCTTTGAAAAGATGCTCCATGGAAATAGAAATTAAAGCAACAATGAGATACCACTACACACCCATTAGAATGGCCAGAATCCAGAACTCTGGCAACAGCAAGTGCCTGTGGAATGTGGAGCAGCAGGAGCCCCTGTTCCTTACCGATAGGGGCTTGTGGGGTGGCTTGCTGGTTTCTTACAAAACGAAACCTACTCTTTCCTATGATCCCGCAGACTGGTATTTGCTTCTTGGCATTTACCCAGGTAAGTTGAAAACTTACGTCCACGCAGAAACCTGCACGCAGTTGTTTATAGCAGCTTTATTCAGAATTGCCAAAATGAAAGTAACCAAGATGTCCTTCAGTTGGTGAATGGATAATTGAACTGTGGTCCATCCAGATAATGGAGTATTGTTGAGCACTAAAAAGAAGGGTGCTGTCACACCCTGAAAAGGCACGGAGGAAACTTAAATGCATATTACTAAGTGAAGGAAGCCAACCTGAAAAGGCTACACACTGCATGATCCCAATTCTGTGACATTCTGGAAAAGGCAGAACTATGGAACCGGTGAAAAGGTCAGTGGTTGCCAGGGGTCGTGGGGAGGGAGGAAGGAATAGGCAGAGCTCAGGCTTTTTAGAGCAGTGGATAAATGTTATACATCTGTACAAACACATACAGTGCCCACAGGAGTGAGCCCTAATGTAAACTATGGACTTTGGGTGATTATGATGTGTCGGTGTAAGTTCATCTGGTGGGGATGTTGATAATGGGGGTGGTAGAGGTATGTGGGAAATCTCTGCACCTTCCTCTCAATTTTGCTGTGAACCTAAAACTGCTCTAAAAATAAATAAAGTCTATTTTTTTTAAAAAAGTGTATTGTGTAATTAAAGTTGATTTTACAGAAAACAGATAACTGAGGGACAGTATCAAGAGCAACAGAAACTAAAATGCAAATGAAACTCCACAAGTATGTAAGGGATTTATATAGAAAACTGTACGACTTAAAAGATCATAAGTGTTCATCTGAATAGCTGGAAAAAAGATTTGACTTTCATGTAAGGAAAGATAATATTGCAGAGTTGCTACTTTAAAAATTATTAATAAATTTAATATAATTTCAAAGTCTTTTGGAAATATAATTTTGGAAATATAATTTTCCAAAGTCTTTTGGAAAAAACTTTCAAAGTTTATTTTGAAAGAGTAAATGTACAAGAAGCAGCGAGAAATTTTTAAAAGTAACGAGTAATGAAAGAAGTTACCCTACCAAGTATCAAAATGCAGCAAAAAACTGATTTTAATTAAATGGTGGTAATGGTGCAAACAGACAGACTAGTGGACCAGATTATTCACAATCAGCATATGTTTGTTTTTGCCATATTTTGTGAATTCTAAGACACAGTTTTTCAGATTTTAACACCTTTACCAGACAGGATTCATTTTACAGTTGATGTAAACTATATTGCATACCATTTGCTTTTTTTCTTTCTTTCTTTGTATAAGATACGTGATGGAGTATCTTAAAATCCATGACATCTTAGATTGAATGAAATTATATATGTACACACACACACACACGTAAATGCATATTATAAAATCATGTACACACATATTCACACACATGGAATGAGACCCAACGCCAAAATCCCTCCAAGCTTTTCAGTAGAGTCTTATCTGCAACCATGATATTTGTCTTTCTTGATCACTCTCTGACTGCTTTCGCAATATACTGAAAATTGCATAGTAGAGTTATAAATACTGGAAAATATACAAGATTTCATGAAGTCTTTGAAAGTGGTGTTGGAGAACCATTTAATTCATCAGTAAGCCATTGGCGAATAAGAATGTGTTTTTATTTTTCAAGCCAAGCACTGTATCTAGACATTTTTCACCATTTGTTATGAAATTTTGGTCTTCATTTTAAATGTATGCACTTAAAGTGTTCTGTGTGTAATTCAGTTACCCCAGAAGAGGAAGATACCCTACATATTGTACAGGTAATGTTTTAAAAGAAAAGAGTGTATTATTCAAAAAACTGTAATGGAGTAATGACTCTCTTTGTTGGACAAAATAATGCGTGTTTGGATTTCTGCCTCACAGACATAAATTTCAGATTGATTAAATTTCTGATCATGAAAACATACAAAAATTCCAGAAGCAAATATGGGAAAACAGTCTTTAGAAAAAAGCCCAAAGTCTTAAAGCAGGTTTTCTCAACGGGGATGGTATTTCCCCCAAGCGGGTGTAAATTGGTTTGCAGGAGGTGAAAAAATCTTAGCTATTACAATGTCTGTGGCCCTCCAGAGGGCCACAGTATGTACATCAGTGGATATGCAGTGTATCTGCGGTATTAAGATTTCATGGGGAGGCAGGCAATTAGGGAGAAAAGTGTCTGAAAAGGTGCCTTAGTAGGAATGATAATGAAAAAACAGTTGAGAAGCACTGCCGTAGAGGAAAAGTGGCAGAGTCTGCTATACACATACACTTTAAACGTCTTGAGTATGAAAGACGCCACAAACAAACTTTAAAGGCAAGTGACAGACTGGGAGCAAAGAGTTTACAACTCACGTAATAGAGGAGTGTAGGCTCGTGTTTGGAGTGCTCACACATGGTTGACAGAGAAGCAGCTCAGTACAGACACGGGAAAAGGACGTGGAGTTGGTGTTTGCTTTATTTACTGCAGCAGCTCCGTTTCCCAGTTTGTTCGGTGGTTATTAGATGTGAACGGCCATCTGTATTTCAGAAGGAATTACACAAAACATCTTTGTGGGGCCCCTTCTGTTTTAAACGTTTCAAACTCTCGGAGGTGTCTCACCACAGAGTTGAAACATAACTGGGCACGGAAAAATCCATTTTGTTTTTTTCTTTCTTATAGTATTCCTGTCTCTAATTTCCTAACTGTATTACATAATTGACTTTATCAGTTTTCCTTTTTAAGAATATGGGAGTGTGTTGTATTTACAGCCAAACATAAATTATCTTGTTCTAGCAAGATGACTTTGGTATTTTGTGTTTATTTAAAACATATTACAGAAATTCTCATGGTGAAATATTTAGGAATGTTTTATCAAATATAAACGTTGCTTTGTATTAATGGGTATGAAATATTAAATATCCTAAATATTTACATGCTAAACCTGCCAAACTAAATTCTAAATATTAATGCTATTTTGTTATTTCAAAAGGTAATCAGAATTAAAAATGTGTCTTATTGCAGAATTATGAATTGCAATTAAATACAAGCTATTTGATCTCTGTTTATTTTTGTTTATTTGTTTTCATTTGGTTTTTATTAGCAATCCAGTGGGGAGAAGACGGCCGCCCATTTCATTTTCTCTTTTATACTGGCAAACAGTCATATTATTCATTAATGCATGTAAGTATATTACATTTATGGTAAGTAATATGAACTGTAAGCTAAGTAACTAATGATAGCAGAGGTTTCCCTCAGCTTCAGAATTTACCTAGTGTGTTTCATAATGGACAAAAAATAAGACTTCCAGAGACAAGACAGTATGTTGAAAGGCTTTATATTTTATTAATTCATTTTTGCTAAAGGTAAACATTAGAGAATTTATGTCAGAATGGTTTGTCCTTAAAATGCTTTTACTTCCAAACTGAGGTCATGTTGGGAGATAGATGCTCAGCTCAGTATCAATGCGTGGGTGTGCGTGAAGGCGGGACCTGAATCAGGAAAGGGGCTGTCAGGGCGATGGGCGCTCACCTTGGGGGAGAGGCAAGTCCTTCTCTCTACCCTTTAGTTATTCCTATACGATTTTTGCTTTTCATAGGTCAGTGTAGTGTATGAGTCTAGAATTTGGGCTCAAAAGGCCTAGGAAGTGATTTTATTACTTGTTGCCTTCCAACTGCGTTTGCGTGTACCGGGAACAGGTTTTATTTTCTTTCAGAGCCGTAAGTTGGTTGATGGTGTGCGCGCACTGGGGAGTTCCCTACAGTTACTATGACAAGAGGCTGGATGCTGATGCCCAGTTTTAAACAACAGAACCCACTTTATTTTTAGAACATGGTGTCAAGTTTTATTTTATTCATATATGAGTTTTACAAGTTACAGAAATTGTCCCTGGGCCTTCCATCCACAGTCAGCTCTCGGGTGGCTTGGCTTGCATGCACACATGTACTCTGTCGAGCTGGCTGGTGTTTATTTGTGCTCCGCAAACCCAAAGGACAAAATCCCCACTTGTCAGGTACATTTATTTCTCGGGGAAAAAAAAAGAAAACCTTCTTTTTACTTTTTGTTGACCTTGGGCAAATGAGCTTCTTGCCCTGGCAGAAATGAAATGAATGATGGATGCAGAGAGTGTCTTTGCTGAGTAATGGAGCTGGGCTTCTGCTCTCCGCCCAGGCTCTGCGTACAGCCCGAGGCTACCCAGGGACCCCTGCTGCTCATTTAAATAGGTATGTCAAATCTGCCTCACAACGCTGCTGGTTTGATCTGTGGTAATATTTGTGAAGGTTCCATATGGACTCGAGCCCCCTGCAGTGCTGAGAAATAATGTACAACGCTTCATGGTGCAGACGCAAATTTCCCCTGAAAAGGGATGCAGCACTGCGTTTTAGCTGTCGGAGGGGATGATGGAGCTGGCACGCTAGGGCTGTCAACTTGTTACACGGATGGGTTGCACGCAGCGAAGCTGTGGAAAATCTGTGCCTTTTAACTTTTCTACTTAATCACGGTTGTAGCGTTGCCTTTAGACTGTATTATGCTACATTAATTCTCTTCCTGCCTTCTGCCTTTCGTCCCAAGTTTCACGGAAAAAAGTAAAGCATGCGGGTCTTGTAGAGGAGGCTTATCAAACAGCTGTCATCTGACAAGCCATTTGCATTTGTTTGGGCTGAAACTGAGCAACCCAAGGGCAAGATATTTTGTTGCATTCCATCATAATGAAGAAATTACACATTGTATAAGAGGCCTAACTTTATTTATGAGTTTTAAAAGGGATTGCTCAAGAAATTGGTCAGTTTCTCAGTGGATAAAATACTACCCCACTCTCGACTAGAATGTCAAATTACATCCAGTTTATAAAGTCTTCCTTTTGCGTCATATAGTTGCTTTGCATATAGGAGAGTTCTTGTGGGCTTCTATGTGTTAGTTAAATTCAGTAATTTAGGTCTGTCCATTTGTTGTGTAGTTTAACCCCCAAACGCTGTGGGTTTGGTATTTGTTTTATTGTTCATCAGAACAGTTTACACATGTAAATTACAGATATTTTGGTTTAACTTGAGCGTGTTAATTCAGATAATTATAAACCCTTGTATTTTCAAAAATGCATCTTACTGAACTTTAAAGTAATTACATGTATGGAAAAAGGATAAATATTTTCCTAAATATAGACCAATCACTTGAGCCTCATGTACGGCAGATGTTATTACTCACAGCTGTGGTCATTGCCTGGATGATGCAGGTCAGCATCATGCTAGGTGCTGTTTGTTACTCTGAAATAGTATGACTAAAGATCCACTGTTCAGCTCCCAAGAGTGGTTTCGTAGTGAATCAGGGATCGCATATAAAATAAGACGGTAAAACTTGAAACTGCTGCACATGTTGGCTCCCTCCTTTGTTCTGCCCTCTCTTGGTGCGGGGAGGGGTCCGTTCCATTCTGTGGGAGGGTGATCCCCCCCGCCGCCATCCCACCACAGCAAGGGAGCCAGGCCCGCAAAGACTGTGGCAGGTGGGCGGGAAGTGACTCATTATTGCTACCGTTTCGATTTGTTGATGCAATTTCTTCCCATGTGACAGGGTGAAAGACACTAAGGCAAACTCTGTTTTCCATGTCCTGGACCGGCTGTGATTGTGTGAGCTGTGGCCGTCACGGCCATGCTTTTTGTCAGAAAAGCACAGCTCTGAGCATGTTTGCAGTTCTGCCCAGAGGTCTTTGTGATGTCCCTTAACCTTCTTTATCTTCGGTAATAACATCAAAGCTGCTTTTTAGTATTTGGTCACTGCTTGCATGTTAAAGTTGTATGTTACATTATAGCAGCAAATAAAAGATGGACCTGATGCAGCTGCCAGTTAAGGGTAATGTGTAATGCTTAAGTGAACACTGTTTCCAGTGAACCCGTAGTTAGTCCATCCGGTTGTTTTTGTGGAGAAGTAGGAGGATTTTGGGGGAAGAGGCGGATGAGAAGAAAGAAGCGGCTCGTTGTTCCCGCCCAGAAGGGAAGCTGTTGGGAGAGCACAAGGTGAAGGGGAGCTTGCCGAGCCACGGGGGCTGGGGTCGCAGACTTTGTGAGTGTGTTCATTCTGAGGGCTCATCACCAGGTTGGCTGGAATTCCCACCTTCCTGTGGCCACAGCCATACACCTGTCTTCAGGTTCCTGGGAAGGTCAATAAAAACCATTTATCTTACAAAATAGCGAATAGGGTGTACGTACGTAATGAATGAAGTGTGAAACAGTACTAACAAGTAAATTCTTAAACAGTGAAAGGTAGTTTAAGAAGAAATAAGGGCTGTATGGAGTTTCTCAAAGGATCGTTGAGGACTGAGGGGGCTCCGGGCTGGATGGCCCTACCCATCCGTCTTTTTTACCCCAAATGGATGACTTTCCATCTCCTTAATAGCCACGTAACCAGTGGAACCTGTGTACTGCTGAGACATGATTTAGAGTTTCAGTGTAGCGTTTCAGGAGCAGAAAGAAGAAAGAGAGAGTAAAAGGAGTTTCCAGAAACAAGTGAACTGAAATGTAAAGGAGAGGGAAGACTTTTTAGAGGGTGTGTGCGTCTGACGTGGAGCAGGTGCCGCGCCAAAGAGCTGAGCTGCGTGTCCGGGGGTGGGGGAGGAAGCCTGCCTGCGCAGCTAAGGATGCTAAGGATAGGGCGGTGGCTGTGCCCCTGGGTCCCAGCTGCCCCAGGCACCCCTGCCCTCCACAGCTGGAGCTGCGGGCAGGCAGAGGGGCTGCATTCATGAATGGGGCGGTCACAACCTGGGCGGTTGTGCAGGTCCTTTAATCCTAAGACAAGTGTTAATTCCCGTTCACTCCTATCAACACCTAGGTTTCTGAATATCTTGAAACTCACTAAAAGTGAGTTGAAAATTGTTTTAAACTCATTGTGGGAGGTGATTATTTGACTCTGAAGTGGGAATCCTTTTGTAAAATATGATTCATTAAGACAGGGCATGGCTGTAATATAGCCTTTCCCAAAGTGCTTTCTGAGGAACCCTGGTTATGAAAGCTTCAAGAAAGGGTCTCTGAAATTAAGCTCGTTTGGGAATGCTGCATATTGTATACAGCACTAGGAAACTAATAAGGAGACACTTAGCGTGATAAAAACTCCCTGACGCCCTTCAGTAGAGAAACACTGCTGCTCAAATATGTTGGATTGCGGAACCATTTCTACCCAAAACATCTTTTAACGTCCCGTGAAACCAGAGCTTGGGAAAAGCTGTATAAAACATTGGAAACACTGTGAGTTGTCAGAAACATTAAGCATCTATTGACGTTTTACGTCAGCTCACCTACCCCAACGTTTAAGATAAGGTTCTGCATGTCTAAAAACTATACTGGGAATTTAGCATCTTATATATTTTAGGACTAGTTTTACAGTAAACTTTGGAGTATTTTCAGAGTGTTTCTATAAATTGAAGGAATTATATGGCCTCAGATGAAAGTTTTACCCTAAAAAGTATAAAATTAAGGAATAAGTAGATCATTATGTACTTAAACTATTCTGCTGAATTGGGGGGAAAAGTTTAAAATATTAAAAAGTACGAAGTAATTCTAATCCTAATAATGTGTGTATAAACAGGATTCATTTGCCTGGCTTATTTAGAAATTCTCCAGTTTATTTTAAGCGACTTAAACCTTCTGTGTTTCACACAGTAGCCCAGGGAGGGGTCTGAGGCCTCAGTATATGGAGGTTCCAGAGTCAACAAGCAAAAGTTCCGGAGGCTTAGTATCACAGTTCTATGCATCCTCCTTGTCACCGGGTGGTGAATACTGAAACCTTTTGAAGCAGTGCTCTTTACAAATGGAGTTAAAGTAGTGACCCTTCCCACAGTGATGTATTACAAGACAACTGCTTTATGACTGTGTAAAGGGCTTCTGTTTAGAAAGCTACAGACCAGTGCTGACGTGTGTCTGTGTGCTGTTTTCAGTTCTTTCTTGACAGGAGGAGTTAATTCAGTAACTAGTTCAGCAACAAACTGCTGTTCGAGAAGTATCTTTAATATACATTTTCCTCATATTGATATATGCATAATTACCATTGTGCATCTTGTATGTTCCAAGTGTAGCAATTGGGAAAATTAATTTTTACAAACTGATTCAACTTATTGCCTCTGTTGATTTTAATCAGATTACTTCTTTTATAATGGTAAAATTGTTTTTATAATATATGATGGAGCTTTCAGTAGTAAAAATATATGGTATCTGAGTCACAAGCACTTCTATGTAGTTACTCCCGGGTGCGTACTTTCCCAGAGTACTTGTCTAACATGACCTATATGTGAGATTATTTCCTTTTTTTATGTCGGGTAGCATTACACGATGTATACGCTGTATAGCATGATGTATTTACAAAGTGATAGCTAGGGTCTACCATAGAAGTATGTCACTTGGAGCTTCAGATAAATTGCATGATAAAAACCATGATAAATGAATTATATGTATATTTATTCCAGTTGGTTTTGTATATGCCAGTAGCCAAAAAATTGAGAAGATTGTTATTTAGGAAATTTATTTTCTGTGATTTTTTTTTTTCCCAACAAACATATTTTAAGTCGCTTACTTTTCTGTATTGAACTAGTATCTAAGATGGTAATTACTGTGAGTTATTATATATTTTGTATATCAAAATACAGTTGACTTTTTCTATACTACCCTCCTAAGAAATGTTGTTTGTTTACCCCTCCTAAAATTGGAATTTCAACATGGTTAATACAACCAAAACAGAATTTGGTAGACTAAAAATGACATTGCTCATGCTCTTGGAAGAGTTTAGTTAAAGCACTTCTTTCCTGTACCCTGAGCATCTGGTATTTCCAAATTAGGCACCTTCTAAATTCGATTCATACATTATGGAAATCTGATGACATGAGGGGTGGATAGGCTTGCTTTGATTTTATGAAATATTAATCATAGCTGTGATTAATGATTCAGCATTTCACATCTGGGTTATTCCTGTCATATTTGAAAATTATACTGTTAAATACAGTATATAAACTTAGTAGGTGGGGTCATGCTAATTCTCTAGGGTCCCTTAAAAATTAAGTGGAAATTTAACAATATACCAGAAGCTAGCACTGGTAATCTGTGATGTTGACAGTTCCTGGCATATTTTATACCCTCAAGGATTTTTTGATGTAAATTAGTGTAAACTCTCTCTTCAGGGAGTTGAAGCTATAGAATGTACTTCCCAGAGGACTGTTGTCTCTGACTAACCAAGATAGAACCTTTAGAATCTCAGGAGAGGTTTTATTATCTAGAAAAGAAAGAAAAATAGAAATAGTGCACCAGTAAAACTTTTTCGATTGTTCGACTCCTGAATGCCATACCTCACCGCTGTATCATTCCTTGACCACTACTGTAGGCCAGGCAGTGTGCTAAGTACTTTACATATATTTTCCTATTTAAAGAAGTATATGAGGGGGCTTAAAGAACATTATATAACTTGATGAATTACAACCATCAGAGCATGTGCCATAAATGAATAGAACTTACCGTGTTCTAAATTTGACGTGTACTCTTCATGGGTGGTTTTCTCATATTCCACATTTTTTCTGGTGATTTTACTTACACTATTTATACATTATTATGGAGCTAAATGTAACACTGGAAGGTAGTAGCAGAGTGCAAGAAAGTTTTAAGAAAAATATGGACTTAAAAATTGCTCAGAATCACTGGAAAATGATGACACATTTAGCACCCCAAATTTTGACTTGAAACTTAACCTATGAAGCAGATCAGTTATTTTTGTTTTAGTTGCCTTGATTATTCCAGAAAATTAAATAGACCCTTATATTATAACCAGGTAGGGTGTCTTACTACCGTTGTTGGTATTCTCTTGAATTCGTATTTTTAAGGTAGATTTGAAACATAACAACATCTCTGACTCAGGACTCTCAGAATCTCAGGGCTCTGGAGCAGCCCAGCATGGAGACGTGGAGACTGATGCCATCCTGCTCCCACAGACCCCCAGCTGGAGCAGGCTTCGGGGCCAGGGGCAGGGCACGTGGTGCAGGTGCACAGCGAGATGCTGCTTGCACACGTCTGTCCCCTTCGTACAAGGCGGGGAGGGTTCATTTTGTGGGTTTTTTTAATTTTCCCTCTATTTTACCTGGTCAGAGCACTTCAGAATTGCTTTCTAGAAATAGGTACATAGAAATTTTTCTGATACACTATTCAGTTGGGCTTACAACTCACTATCTTAGCCTTTAAATATGAATTTCAGGTACCCGAACTACAGTCAAATGCGGCTTACCAATTCTCGGGAGACAAATTGTATGGTTTTAAGTTGCATAGCAGGGACACGTTCTGTATGTGGATGGCTTCTATCAGTTCTTGTTTTCTTTAGAGTGGACAGTTTGTTTTGAGTTGTCAGATACATTTTTCTCCTGCTACAGGTGATGGATTTATACTTTGAGTATAGTTGTAGAGATAGTTAATCTGTACCCTAAAATTGAATTAACCTCATTTGTCCCCAGAGTTCCAGTGTTTAGATCCAAACTTCAGGGTGCGTTACTTGCGGGTATCGTTCAAACAGATCACTGGGCCCCCCTCCCAAGAGGTTCCTCTTGGGAAAGTCTGGGTTGGGGCCTGAGAATGTACATTTCTAACCTAGTGCTTGGCCTAGATGCTGCTGCTGTCTGCTTCTGCTGGGAACTTAGCTTTAGAATCACTGAACTATTGATAGTGATAGTTTCACTCTGTCGGAGATGCTCGGCCCAGTTTTACTGTTTCTAAGTGCTGCTGCTTTTCTTATTCTTTTCTAAGTTATCGATCCTACTACCCTTACTGAAAACAAACAAAACAAAACAAAACACACTCTTACGACTCTCCCTACGACAGGAAATGAACTTATCCTTTTCTCACCAAGAAGTCCTGGCCCATGGAGCATAATCTCGGCTTTTCTCATCTGTATTTAGGAAACTCAAAGGCTCAGTCTTTACATCCTTTTTCCTCCCTCCCTCCCTCCCTTCCCTTCCTTCCTTCCTTCCTACATTCTTTTTCCTCTTGAGAGAAATGGATTCCTGAAAAGAGGTTGCAGAATGAAGATAATAACATGCAAGCATTGGTAAATACAAAGGGAGTAGCAGAGGGGCACGTGTATTCTTAGAGCAGACTCTTTAGCAGCAACATTTTGATATAATATGACGCTCTAATCAGCACCAAGAGGTTGTCCCCAAAACTGGAAATTATGAAGACTGTTTTAAATATGGATGGACATCTCTATGAGTAACAAGTTGTGTCTTCTGAGATTAGCTGATGGTATTGGACGGTGTCATGATTAAGCAAGAAAAAATGTTTATATCATCTCTAGCTCGTCCTTTGAAAACGTCTGTTCCTTAGGTATTGGTATGGTAGGTTATGTGTACATTATAAATGAATACACATAGATTGGATTTGAGTCCTCGAGTTTGCTCAGTCAAAAAAATTGGGAGACAGTTGCATTATTCTGCTTATTGTAAACTCATTTCCTGGAAATCGTATTTCATTGATAACCTTTATTGCCAGATTAGTGCTTACAAAATGGTAAATTTTCTCTTACTTGCATTATGATTTAACAGGTGACATACATTCACAGACTTTGTTAGAAAGTAAATTAATAGAAATCAAATAATGAAAAAAATATTAATAGAAAACTTTTTAAGATACAAACTACATGGTAAAGAGAGATCTTATATAAATGTTAAAATTTTTTACTGGTAATTCTCTAAGTTTAAATGCATATTGCTGTATAAATTATGATTTTTTTAAGGAAAAGTTTTGGTTCTCTGTGGAACTCTTAAGGAAAATAAATAGCTTGTAACTTTATTTCGTTTTTACTAACCTCACTGAGTTGTAAACCTTCTATAGAGTTTTTTGGGTTTTTTTTTTTTTGCGGTACTATAGAGTTTTTAAAAAATCATTTGAAGTTAAGTGTGTTACTATGTATGATACTAAATTCTCATTGAAATTACTCCACCATTCTTTAGTTTGAATGAGAAATAGCATTGTTAAAAAACATTTTCAGTAATCCTTGCTGTGCAGCTGTGACTTGAGGAGGGCGCTTCTGAGATGAGGTGCTCAGGGGAGAGATAAAGGGAGGTAATGGTTCTCCGTCTCTCTTGGTTTAGTGTATGTGTGTGTTATTTGCCACAGGAAGCATACGGAAAGCTACTAGATGTAGAAAACCGTCAAGACCAGCTGCGAGCCAAAGGTCTGTTTTCAGAAAAAACTAAAGCCAAGTAAGTTCTTTTTTGCATTAAAATATATGAGAAAATTAACTAAAAACATACCACTTATCATTGGTGTATTTTAGGCATACCTAAAGCCTAAAAATTTGTTCATTATTTCAGCATTAATCATTAAAATTCCAAATAATAGGTGATTTTTTTTTGTTTGTTTGGGATGATGTAAGTATTAAGGTTATTATTTTTATATTACTTCATTCTGGATTTGTGTGTTAAGTGGCACTTACTGTATTTGAATATTATTTCTTTAAAATTTTTGTGTATGTAACTGTGCATTTATATGCCCATATATATACGTGTGTGTGTGTGTGTGTGTGTGTGTGTGTGTGTGTGTGTGTATTTTGTATTTGAAGGTTTGTGCTTCCATTTAGCAAACAGTGATAGATTAGATCCATCGGCCTGACCAACCAGTTTTAAATTTGGGGATGGTTATTCACATATTTCTTCCTATGCAAAAGACACAAGTTTTTGAATATACCTAGTTTTAGTTGTAAATACTACCCCTAGCCTTTTATTTGGATTTCATTACTACTTTAGTCCATTGACAGATTACCTCTGTGTCTGTAACATACCCTTTAGAGTAAATTATGAAAAGCAAGCACAGTTTTAATTTTTGAGAAATCTAGTGACTTGAATATCATCAGATGGGTTCCCCAATGCCATGTCTAACTCTGCGAATGGAACATTTGCTAGACTGGGTATCTTTTCTAAAGTAGATCGAGGAAATGAAATAATGTGTCTCAAAAATCATTTACTTGGATGAAATTTTACAGCTATATAATACAAAAATGTGTTTCCCAATCAAGAATCGCTACTACTTGTGGGATCTTTTGTGATATAACTCATTGTATGGTTAATTTAAAAGAGAATATAATGTGATATTTTAACAGAGACCCAATTGGCAGCAGATGGCTGATTAAGGAGGAACTGGAAGAAATGCTAGTGGAAAAACTATCAGATCAAGATGTGAGTAATTAATCTTTTTAATTTAAGGAGACCTGTGCCATAAGATTGTAGACATTTGCTGTATTTAGGATCCTAATAGTAATGTTCCTCAGAGGCAGGTGTTCATAAGACGGTTTTCCTTTTAAAACATGTGGAGCTGATTTCTGCCCTGGGAGGGTCAGGAAGGTGCCTGGTCCTCAGACCCTCCTCCACAAGTGAGCTTGCATCCTCTGCCCCTTGTTCAGGGGCGCATGGCAGGTGTCATTTTTCACCCCCTTCAGTAAAGTGGGTGCTAATTTTACAGGCTAATGATAAGTGTAAGGGGCTGTTACAGGTTAAGCAGAAGAGAAATGAAGCGCATGGTTACCTTCCTGGCTTACCAAATGCAGTATCCACACGGCCAGTATGTTTCATCTTGGAATCGGCAAAACTGCCTGTATCAGAATCACCTGGAATGCTGGTTACAAAATGCAGTTCCCAAGGTTCAGACCTCACACAGAATTTCCATGTGTGTCACCCAGGAATCCACAGTTCCAGCAGGCTCCCCCAGTGAATGTCAAAGCCTATGAATGTGGTGACCCCTGCTTTTAGGTCTTAGTCTGATTCTTTTTTTGCTCAGTGTTCTAATATATGCCAGTATTATCACAGGAAATTTGATGTTTTAAATGTGTTGATGTTCTAAATTTAGATTATTTCTGGAAGATTGGAGTATAGAAAAATTTCACAAATTGTTCCAAGAAAGGTTTTTTCCTTCCATGGCAGTGGGTAACATTGTTAGTACCTTGCTGCCGTGTAGATTTCAAGTCCTATGCCTAAATTGCTCTTTTCTTCATTTAACATATTGAAGAAATTAATGTTTTGGAAAAGTTGCAATTTGCTTAACTAAGGTGTCGGGCATTTGGTGAGTTAAAGATCTGAAATTAATTTCTAATATCCTAACTGCCAAGTCAGTATCACTGCATGTGGATCCAACTGAAAAACCTCTCTTTTGCTCCTTCATTGAATGAATCATTTCAGTGTTTCCTGTTTTCTGGCTGCTTTTATTTTTATAATACAGGTTTGTTTGTTTTCATTTTGAAAACATCCCAAGGACTTTGTTATAGGTGTGCAGCTATGAAAACAAAACAACCAAATATATAGGTATGTTTGTACCTTGGGCAGCTGGCTGTTGGAAGAAATCCTGAAGCTGATGGCTGGTGTTAAGATGAGGAAGCCAGGAGTAGTCAATGATGCCTTGAGCCATGATCCCAGTTCACAGGCAGGGCTGGGTCATACCTGTAGTTGCCTCCTTGTGTGTTCGAGGGTATTACAGCCGGTGCAGAGGAACTGAGAACAGCTGAGGAAGGACAGGCCTGTGAATGAAGGTGATGGAGCTTTACCGGGCTGGGTACCACAGGTGGCTAGTAGTTCACTCTTCCTCAGACAGTTGCCTTCTCTAGTATTGTAACATCACAGGAAGCAATAATGGAAGCGGCCCTTTTAATCTTACTTGTGAGATTTTTATTTATTTCAAATTATTAATGGCAGGTTTTCACTGTAAAGGCAGTGGTAACAAAGATGAGTATGATTTTTAGGGTTGGCAAAACATAAATAAGGTTATCAAAAACTGGGTTTCACACTCCATGCTAAGGATCTCAAGTATCAGTTGTTTCCTTCTGCATAAACACTTTAGAGTGATTACTCTGGCTTCTAATTTTAAGGGGTTAATACCAAGTTGTTTACTTTCTAATCACATGTTCAAGAACTATTAAAAAAAAATGCACTGAGTAGCAAGGGTAATTTATTTCAAGAGGTTGCCCTTTAAGTCAAGTATCTCTTGAATTTTTAAATAGCTTGATTGTTCGGTTTTAAAGGAAATCATAAACATTAAAGTAACACAGCTTGAACAGCTAAAGATACATTTGCCAAATGTATTATGAAACGTAGTTTAAGAGGTACGTTTTCTCAAAATCAGACTCTTCCCATTTTACTGTACGAAACTTGCTGGAAATTATTTATGAAGCGCCTCTTGATACAGTTCTAATAAAAGAGTAGAAATTATACTTAAAGATCATCTAAGTATTTTTTTGAAAATGAATTTCACCTTCATGTAATCCTGATACCGAGAAATGGATTTTTCTTTGAATGATAAATTTCTTTGTTTCTCGAAAGAAAAGATTTGAGCACTAAAGGTACACAGGGGAAGTGCTGCATCTGCACGCTGTTCAAAAGCAGCATGAAGTTGCAGAAGTGTCATCCTGTCAAAATTCATCAGGAAAAGCAACATTGGAAAGATCAAGTATATAAAAATAGAAAAAATTTAGCAAATGCAATTACACTTGCATCTCCTAATGAATTTTTATTGTCTGCAGTACGCACAGTTCACTCGGCTGCTGGAAAGGTTATCGGCGTTGCCGTGTGACGCGGCTGAAGAAGAATTTGTGGGCAGCTTCCGCAGGAGTGTAACCATTCCACTGAGAAAACAGCTGACTGAGCCTTTGCAGTGTGACGAGAAGGGTATGGCCTTCAGCACAGGCCAAGGTAACGCACCCGTGGAGAGAGAACACCCCCCGCACCGAGGATTGGGAAATAGCCGGATGTTTATTTGCTCTTGCCCTTTGGTGTTCATTTTTTTTTATTATTTTTGCTGCTGCTATGCTGGATTTCCGAATATTAAGGTTCTGTTGACGTTTTTAAAAACTGAACTTTATAATGTTGCAAGAAAAAAATGTGGACACATACCTACACAATCATATTAACACTTTGTATTTTCATATTTTCAACTGGTAGAAACAACAAAATATAGGTTTCTTATAAAGGTTTAGGTTTCTGAATAAAGGTTTCTTATGTTAAATGAAAATTTTCGGGGAATCTGCACGTCAGATGCTAAAACTACAGAACGTTAAAACTTTAGGTCCTCGACTCACATCTTCCTTGTAGGTGTACAGAGACATTTGACGTGATGTAACTTTAAAGAATTGAGTTATTAAATGATGTATCTGCAACTTTAAAAAAATTTACATCATTCCTTTATCATTTTCAGTTAATATTTTCAAAGAAGTGTGACCTTTCCTAAGGATTCCTTTTATTTCTACCAATTATACTTTATTATACTGTTCATATATTTTTAAAATTATACAAATAAGATATACTCTTATTAATTTAAAAAGAACACTATGTAAGTTGATTTTTTTAATAATATAAATAAATGTGAATTACTTTGTTGAAACTAAAATCATTGTAGTGTTTCTCAAATGGGATTAAGGAACAAAATCACCCCATAGTAAGCTTTATTACGTCAATTATGGTGTAGTTTGCCTGTTCTGTTTTCGTTTGACTTGTAATAATTATAGAACTTTCCTATATAGAGTGTTCCATATTGTTATTCTGGGGGAAAAAATTTAATGTAGTTTTGCCTCTGTCAAAGCATTGGTCCTCAAGATGTTCACTAATAGATGTCTTATATTTTTAAAGGTAACAGAAAGACTGCAAAAGCAAAAGTGGCTGTTTATGACCACGGAAGTGGGAGGATAGAAGTAAATGGGGTCGACTACCTGCTCTACTTTCCAGTGACTCAGGACAGGTGAGGTCTTTGTTTTGGTTTTGCTTTTTGTTTTTAAAGAAAATGTACTTTATAATATGTCACGATCAACTAAGGCTTATGATTTTCTGATTATATTCGTCTGCATGATTATTTCTTTTTACTAATAGAATATATCAAACTAGCTAGAGGGACGCTGTCACTATTTTTTATGTTGTTTTCCAGATTTTTAAAAAGCATCTCTAGAATTCCTCATTAATTGAGTCTTCCTCCCCTTTTCATCAGGTCATACCGGAAGTTGAGTGTCTCGGGGTCTTATGTTCTGAAATGCAGACTATGCCACCTCTGCTTCCTGGGTTTGGGGATGGGCAACCACAAAACAACGAAAACCAACCTTGTTTGGCACTTACTGTCGTAAATATTAGAAAAAGTTCGCTTTATCACTTTGGATATTTTTCTATTCACAGAAAATAATATATATATATATATATATATATATATATATATATATATATGAAGCAAAGAAACCTGACATTTATATATTAAAATAAGAGCTCATCAGGCTTTGCTTAGTTCCCATGGCTACATATGGCCGTTTTATTCTTTGAACTTTGTATCCCGTGGAGAAACAGACATTAATTATAAATAGGTGTTACAGCCCAACTCCACTAAATATGCCCACCTGAGATATGTTCCTTAGTCACTGTATAAGGCCTCTTCTTGAGATGGTTATGATTTTCCCAGTCGTTACTGTCATCATCCACAAGTCACAGCAGTTCTGCATGGTTAGTTCCTCTCTTCCTAATCTTCTCCTGGTTCCTGTGGTGGTGTTTCGGGTCAGAAGACTTAAGGCTCTTATGATCCCAATGCTTATGTCAGGAAAGAGGACCATGCCAGTGTAGTGTAAGCTTCTGGACGGAATAATCACTTCAGGAAATGTGTGTTTCTTGTGTGTGTGTGTGTGTGTGTGTGTGTGTGTGTGTGTGTGTGTGTGTGTGTGTGTGTGTGTGTGTGTGTGTGTGTGTGTGTGTGTGTGTGTCAAGAAGTAGCCCCGCTCTACTCTGTTTAGTAGGAATTAAGCTAATTCTGCCACCATCCTCTCAGGGAAGCCGATGGAGGAGGCTCTTACTTGTCTTACCAAACGCCAGAGAGACCCGTAACTTCAGCATTACGACTGCTGTTAGGAATGGCATTTGATCGATAACCGTCTGTTAATTTGTTTTCAGATATAACTCCTGATGATTTAATAGCAGGTCTCGATTTTGGCTTTTATCTCACAATTAAGTTGCCCCCTTAGAACTTACTATTCAGGCTGATTCAGCAGGCGTTTGCTAAGGGTTGTCTGTGTGCCCAGTCTTGTTCTTGGCATTGCGAAGATACCAGAGCTATGTGAGATATGGTTTCTGCTGTCAAGAAACTCCCTATCTGATTGGGAAGCCTGAGGCTAGTCTTGGTGGGATAGGCGCCCAAACCGCCTCACTGTCTTTCAGTACTTGTCGGGATTTATGGCAGCCATGCTACTCGGGGACTGGCCTTTCCTCCTGCACGAGTGGCTCCCGAGCTTACGGATGAGCAGGGAGGTGACCACTGACCACCAGTAGTAGGGAGACGGCCGAGCCAGGAATGGGTGATCTTGATTCTAGGTCTGTTTTCCAGCTGTGTGAACTCAGCCAAGATGCTTAAAGGTCACCTCCCTAAATGGTAGGAGGGAGTTGGACTTGATGATCTCTGAGGTGCTTGCCTGAAGGTCAGTTTGAACTGCTTGCTTTTCTTTCCAGGGTCCTTTCTTTAGGCTGTTTTTACACAGACATAGCAAACAGGTCATTGGGAGTGTCGACTGTGTTCCTTCCTCGAGCTGTCAGAAATTTTGTGTTTATTCATTCACTTAGCAGGCGTTTACCACGATGCGCCTGGTGCTGTGTGGGGTACACAGAGCAATGCTTTCTGATTTGGAAAGGCCTTTGCTCTGTTACTTAGCCAGTGAAGCAACTCTTAATTGATCACCTGTACAAAGGGAGTACATTCCTCACATGGCACTAACCGTGTAATAGAGGAGACAAGTTAGCATCTTAAGCAGTCACAGAAAAATAAGAGTACGTGATTTTATATATGTACCAGGTTATGTGCTGTACAGTTGGTGCCATAGGAGTGGCATTCAGAGAAGATTGAAAGGAGGAAATTTTCAAAATAACTTTGATTATATAACAAAGAGCAAAATAAAATTGATTCTTTTAGCTCAGGATTTCATCTGAGATCCCTGAGAGGAGAGATTTATGAAGTATTTTCATGCCGTGTAACTGTTTTTGCAGGTACTAGTGTGAGTCCAGATTAATTAAAACCAGTAGCTGTGTAATCGTTTTCAACTGTACCCTTTGGGCGTTGCTTTCTCTTTATAGACTTAGTGTCGTGCTCAGTGCGCACCGGCTTCCTGACTGTGCAGACTCTTCCTCCTCAGGTCCTTTCTCGCCTTGACCACCCTGACTCAAGTGCTCTCATAGAGCCCGAATTTTTTCCCCAAATTTTAGTCTCAGTTTTTTAATCTATATAAGCATTTTTAAGGGAATCTTAAAAGTTTTAGGAATTAAAACAGATAAATGTTTAAGCTCCCAAACGAGTAGGTGAGCAGGGCTTCTCTTAGTAACATCATCACTCACGTCACTCACCCGCGCAGTCGTGTCAGGCAGCGTGGGCCTGTGATGTGCCAAAGACAGTTCCATAGGTTCCATACTGACCTCGGTGTCCTTGCTGGAAATGGCGGGGTTAGATTATCAGCCTCTAAATTTTCTTTAGCTCTTATAATATAGCTATTATTTATAATATCGTTGACTCTTGAACAATGTGGAGGTTGGGATTTTCCCAGCACAGTGGAAAATCTGAGTACAACCTTACCGATGGCTCTTTGTATCGAGTTTCCTCATCGAGGGATCCGACCACTGTGGATGGTGTAGGTCTGTAGTATTTACTGTTGAAAAAAATCCACGTGTCAGCAGGCCTGCACAGTTCAAACCCATGTTGTTCAGAGGTCAACTGTAGCACTACTTTTGTAACGTCCCTGATTTTTATTTGGTTCCTTTGGAACATTTGTTCAAAGAAAGCAATATTAGATTTAGGTCGTCTCATACCTGTTTTCTGTCGTAGGACTTGCGTCATTGCTGTTGGAGCAGCATCCCTGTGGAAGCAGTATTGTTACAAACTCCAGCTAACGCTGCCCTTCCAAGCCCTTGTGTCCACATCCGCACCAGCCCGGGCTTGCTCTGCTAGTGTGGAGCCCAAGGGGCGACACCCACCTCTCAGCATCACTGTGTGACGCTAACCTTTACTTGGGGGGTCCAGAAAGCTGCAGTGTCAGACCAAACAAGCAAACGCAATATTCAATATTCATCAGCTTTTCTAAGTAAAATTCATAAGAGCTATCAAGGCAAAAGCAATCCCTTGTTTGTGAGTGAGAAGATGGTCCAGGGCAGTCTGCCTGCTCCAGCCTCTGGTTCTGGCCCTGCCTGGACCGCATGGGTGCTCACTGGCTGTGGAGGGAAGCGGGCCTGGCTGGTCTGTGGGGTGTCACCTGGCAGGACCCTGCAGCTGAGGGAACTGCAGGCAGAGTGCGTGTCTCAGTGGGAAAATGTCGAGTGTGGTTTCAGTGACTTTAAAACTCACAGTGTCAGGACGAGCACAAACCTTATACAGATACGGCATAGTACACTCTACTTAGTGAACCCAAATGGCACTTGATAGTTGCTTGGGAAGACCTATTAATATTACATCTGATCACTGAATCCAGAGAGGTGGATTCAGTGGATTAAAGGAGTTCTCCCAGCTTTGACTTCTTTATGAGGTTATGTTCAAGCCTCACAAAATTCTCGTGAGACAAGCAGGGTCAGCAAACAGCTGGGGTGTGCTGTTGTGCCCGAGCAGAAGAGGCCTGACCCTGCTCTCACGGAGCATCTGAGTGGCGGAGACGCTAGCGTTTCTGCGTCTGGTGTGGGTCTCACACACATCCAGAATGTGAGCAGCCTGTAACATTGTGTATCTTCGCAGTGAACTTAACTCCACCTCTCGTGCTGTGCCTTAGAGAACAGCTGATGTTCCCTTTCCACTTCCTCGACCGGCTGGGAGAACACGACATGACCTGCACGGTGTCGGGGGGCGGGCGGGCGGCGCAGGCGGGGGCCATCCGCTTGGCGACGGCGAGAGCCTTGTGCAGCTTTGTCACCGAGGACGAGGTCGAGTGGATGCGCCAAGGTGTGAGTTCAAGTGGGGGGCGGGGGGCAGGTGACCCTCGAGTCTTCATCCCACTCCGTTTTGTGTCAGGCACATGAGCGGTGGCTTTTGTTTTATTACAGAAATTTGTAATCGTTATTCGATTTAATGATGGAACCCCCTAAGGTGTTTCTCTCCAAAGTTATTGGAGATTCCTTTTCCACTGTGATATTAGTTCGAATTTTATTTCCCTTACTCACTCTGTGTGACCCTGTCACCTAGCCATGAATTCTGGAGTCTCTGCACAGGGGGAGAAGGGTTCTACGATCAATATGTTCTTTAGGGCCCTGCGTCCTCATTTCACAGTCCGTCGGGGCAGCTCTAGCTGAGGAGTGTCTTCCCACCATTTGTGAAGGAGGAAAGCACTGCGGGCACTGCAGACCGGCTGTGTGGCCTCAGCAAGGCCCCTGGCACCTCTGGGTCCAAGAGCCCCTCTGGGCAAGTGATGTGGGCCCTGCCCCTGCCCTCCCACTGCGCCGCTGGGGTTCTGATCCCACGCTGCAGATAGGGCCACCCGTAGCTTAGGCAAGTTAATTTTTTTAAACCTCTAAAAATCCATTTGCTTATAAACAGTTCACCATTTTGTAGCACCTCACTTAACAATTCTGCTAGTTTTGAGGTTCTGTGCATATTGAAAAGTAATAAAGCATCATTACTTATCATTTAAACTAGAATTTAGACAGGTCTTGCTTGCATTCCGCACAAAACGTTGTGTTATTCCACACCCCTTAAGTACAAGTAAATGCAAGAGCTATGGGTATATGACAAGCGTAAAATGTGAATTTTGCCTTTGCTGTGTGGCCATTGAGAGTACCTTAATAAAATAGAGAAGCCTCGCCTACAGTGAAGAGAGGTGCTAGTGTTGGAAAGGTGAAAAAGACAGTGAGAAACTCCAGTCTGTTTACATATTTATAAACACAGTTAGAGTTTTCTCGTCGCTGGTGTTCTTATGGTAGTTACCAACATCCCACGTCTGGGCCACCACTGGGCACTCCCATCGGGGCCGTATGCTGAGAGTGACTCGTTTATTGCTCAGAAGCTGTAATTACTCCTGATGGTGGGAGACTGGGAGCTTCCAGTCTAAACTGACTTTTCTCTTCTGGAACCAACACCTTGAGCTGAGAACACAACTCTAAAACCTTTTTTAGATTCTGAAACAAAGTACCAAGAAATACTATTATCACACAAATTAGAAAAATAAGCTTCTTTTCTCAGATATATTTGATAAGTCATATATTATGTGTCGGTGTATCCACGGGCCCTGTCACTGTGTGAGGAGCTGCCAGTTCACGCGGTTCTCCTGCTTTCCTGCGCTTTCCACGGGTCATAAAGGCGTCTCTTTTTATGCTGCAGCGGGACTGCTTACTGCCGATCCCCGTGTCAGAGAGCGGAAGAAGCCGGGCCAGGAGGGAGCCCGCAGGAAGTTCACCTGGAAGAAGCGCTGAGTGTCTGGGCGGGAGAGGAGGGGGCGCTGTGCACCTGGCGCGCGGCGGGCGCGCAGGACGCAGGCGTTGGCCGGGTGAATCAGCACCATCACACGTTGGGAGTCGGGTGCTGATTTATGCTAAATGCAGTGTCGTAAAGGTACCTTCTCAAAATCATTATTTAAAACTGTTTAGCTTTGTTCTGCTGCTTTACTTTTAAAACTTTTTCAGAAGAGAGCTTTAGAAGCATAACTCAGAATCTTGGCGTATTCGACCTGAAAGGAGCATTCAGCAAAATCCAATCAAGAGACCGCCTTTTGCGGACGGAAAGGCCCAGCCCCATACATCTGACCCAGCAGAGCCACACTGCTAACGTAATGGCAGGACGGACTTGGACTCACTCATTTTCCCAGAGAGCAGTTGTTACAACATATCTTTCAAAACTGAGGGATGAGAGTGCTTGTTGAGAAGAGTGAAGCCCGTGGAGCGTCTTTGTCAGGAGCCCAGCTGAGTCTCTGCGGAAGACAACAGGCCAGTCCCCCACCACCACCAAGCCCCCGGCAACCACCATTCCACTCTCTGTTTCTGAGTGTGACTCTTTTTTTTTTTTTTTTTAAAGATTCTACGCCTGAGTTTGCCTTTCTCTTTCTGGCTTATTTCACTTAGCATAGTACCTTCCAAGCTGGGTACACACTTGCGGTTACAGAGTATGAATTAGTTCCGAGGATCTGGCTTTAGCGTGTCTGTGAAACCTTAAAGTAGTTCAGGGTTCTATACATGCGTCACTTTTTCTGGGCTACGTAGTTCCATTGCTCTCACAAGATGCCCAGAGGGGTCCCTCCCTATGACACTGAGAACCACGGGCATGAGGAGGGTTTGCCGGCGGGGGGGGGGGTTAAGGACAATAAGTCCGCCCTTTGTGTGCAGCCCTAGATCCAGCAGGCGAAACAGACACCATGGTGAGATCTTGGGCCTGACCTGGTGGGAGCAGGGGTCAAGGGTATTGGTCATAATCTTTATCTGGCTAGGAGGAGGGTTACATGAGTGTCCGCTTTACTATACCTTTCAAATGTGATACGTGTGATTTTTATTATGAACCATTTTATGATAAAAGTGAATGAAAGACTACCGTGAGTTGGGATGTAGGAGCTCGAGAACAGTCTCCGGGGGGCTTATGTGTGACCTCGGGCAGCTGACCTCCTCACAGCTGGGTGGTCGCTCGTGAGGAGGGGAGCACAGCAGCCCCTGTCCCAGGGTTAGAGGGTTCAGTAAAATCCACAGGAGCCGTGGAGCCCAGAGCAGGTCCCCTATCAGTGTGGGTTGTGATTTTCCTCAAGAGACCCCTCCTTAACCGCTGTCATTTGCTTAAACCCAAATGCACAGGATCTCAGTTGGACGAGGGAAGGAGTGGGGGTCATGGTGTAAGCAGGCAGTTTCCTTGAAAATGAATGACAGTTCACTACCTTGACTCCTCAGAAGAAACAGAAACACGATGCTGTACGTGGGGTAGCTGAGTGCTGTAGACCAAGTGTTTCCATATATCTGTTAAGACGTCCAGGCTACACTCGATTCAGCAGCCCCACTGACACAGATGCTCAGCCCTCACACACCATGGGAGGTGGCAGCCGGCGAGGAGCTCTCAGTGTTTATAAGGGAGGGCCAGCACCTTGTGTTTGCACAAGTGTTGGTGTCAAGCGCCTCTACCAGGAAGCCTGTGACCCATTCCCCCAAATTAACAGTCAAGGGGCCATAAAAATCATCATCATGTCACAGAAATACTGCCACCTTCTTTGGTGACCAACTTTGTGGGCCACAGAAGATTTTCTTCTTATTGTAAAAGCCTTTGGTTAAGACACCATAAACTCATTACTGAAAATTGAAAGTAATCTTTGAGCACACTAAGCTATAAAAACTACTGAGCGTCAACGCTGAGCAAAATACTGTCAGAATTTTTTTCTGTCATTTCTCGGAAAATATAAATTACTATAGAGGTGCAAAATGTGGGAAGAAAACAATTCCAGTCACATCAGTGATTCCTTCTGCACAGGCCACCAGCTTTTTACACTAGATAGTAACACTTCTAATACAGATTTCAGAGAAGGAGCCATAAGGTAAGAATTAGGTATTTCAGTAGAATCAGAAGGTATTTAAAGGCCACGATTTTTGGAGTGAAGGCCTGCTTTAACCATGTGTTTCCAGACCTCTTGGGGCCTTGCTGCCTGCAGGGAGGGCCCCTCCCAGGGTTAGCGGGTCCCTGGCGACAGTAAACCACATGCCTGCCGCGTGCCTTTCAGGCAGTCACTTGCTGGCCTGTTGGCCTCCTCATACCTGATCCTGATAAAACCTGGGCTTACACAGGGCCTCAGCCTTTCAGGCGCTGCTCCTGCAGTAGCAGGATACTGGGTCCTAGTCTTGATGTGTTAGTGCTTTTTCTTACTCAGTTTGTATTCATCAGACATTTATTTAACAAGTTATAAACACAAACCAGACAGGTTCCTTCTAGGAAATTTTCTTTAACGGATGGGAGGAGACCCCTTTAATAAAGTGGTAAATTCCTGTCACTTTTCATGAAATCACTGCTACTTTAGCTTTGACAAAAGTTAGGACCACTTTTGGATCTTCTCTGAAAACTGTTCACGAGAACTCCAAATTTATTCCTTTTTCATTTTCCCAAGACTTGATTGCACTTCTCTTAAAAATGATTGAAACCTCCGCGGGGGAGCCAGCCTCACAGTGTGAGGTCCTTCTCTCCAAGTCGAGAATGCAAGATTCACACAAACTCTCCTGATGGCGTTTCGAAGCCTGTAGACTTCGCCGCCGAGGACGCCGTCGTCGCTGTTCCCGCGCGGGGTCCCCCACTACTGCACTGAATTTTGTATTGCCTTGAGGCGAGGGGAGCGTGGTAGAGGAGAGAGCCGTTTCCCGGCGGTCCGCAGGTAAAGGGAGCCGGACACCGCATCAGTAGGCGGTTGTGTTCGGCTATATGAGGACCTGTCGGTGGCAGGTGGCAAGACCCCAGACTTGGGCTGTCTTTACACTGAAAAGGGGGACTTATTGGGAGGCTCTCAGGGTTTCTGGGCTGGGCGGACATCCTGCAGGAAGGGGGCCGTGTCCCAGGTCTCCCGGGCACTCAACTCCCAACCTGGCCTCTCACTTCTCGGGGTTCTTCCGACAGAGTAGGGGGCTGGGGCCACTTCGGACCAAGGGCAGCTCCCACGGCAGCAGTGGTGGAGGAGCGGGCGCAGGGGCAGTCCTAGCAGACAGCAGGTCCCGTCCCTGAAGGTGGGACTTGTGCCCCAGGGTCAGGCCTGGGTCGCTGCAGGGCTGTGCAGAGTGGTCGCCGCCGCAGCTGTCGGGGCCCCTCACCGCTAAGGAACGCTGGCCTCCATCCGCCTCCCCAGGCTCAGCCCTGCCTGCAGACACCCCCAGCCGCGCCGCCCCTCCGCTGCCTGGTGCCCGTGAGCGGCCCGGCCGCTGTCCCCAGCACCCTTTCCTCCCCTGCTGTCTGTTCCTCCCCAGCCCGAGCTCGCGGGCGGTGTGTGTCTGTGCGCGTTTCTCCCCGCAGCAGAGGCAGCGGGAGGATTCTGCCGTCTGTGCCCAGCGCCCCCTCACGCCAGGCTCGGGAGTCAACATTCCCCCTGGGGGAAGGACGCCACTACCGACCCCTCGCTCAAACGTTCCGATAGCTCGGGAGATGGGGTCTGCCTGTCCATCTGCCTTGCGCGTCTGGATTCTTCCATCAGTCCATGGCGTCTTTACTGGTGGCTCTGGATCCCCCAGGAAGGGGGTTACAAAAAGTAGTCCACAGAGTTTTTGTCCTCAAAGCTTAGAATTTGCGTCTCTAATTAGAAAAACAACAAACACAGAGGAAACAATTAGAAGGCAATTAGGTCCTGCTGAGAAGTGTTGGCTGAGCAGTAATGACACGGAGCTGAGGGCGGGACCTCTCCTGGCTGGTCGGCTGGGAGCTTCTGTGAGGCCTGGGGTGACACGTGCTCCGGAGACCACCGCCCTCCGCCCACACCGAGCCTCAAGCCCTCTGGTCTGAAAGATGGGGGCAGGATCCCTGCTTTCCAGGGCTCCGCGGACCACTCAGAACTGGGGTGAGACAACTGGCAGTTTGCGAGGCAGCAGGTCCTGGTGACTCTCCGTTGCCAGCGTCGACCAAAAACGTCAAAACTGCCTCGAGGAGGACGTGGTCCCTGCCCGGCGGGCAGCGTTCAGAGATTGCGCCCCAGTTACTCTTGGTAGCCGCCCCCCTGCACATCCCCTGGGGCCTTGTCTTACTGAGGGAAGAAGTGACAGGAAGGCAGTGCCGGCTGTGTTACTGTCTGAGCTGCGCCGTGGGCATCCCTGCATCCCTAAGACGGGCTGGCCTCAGCCGGCCTGGCTGGAATTCCTGTTGACGTTCCCTCTTCCAAGGGCCCTCCTGGATCTGGCTTCTCTTCTCCCCAACCGGCTGCCCACAGGTGGTGACAGGAGCATCAGCCAGCTGCAGCCTGACACCCGGGTGCTGGAGGCTTTCTGTAGAAACATCTCTGCACACGAATACTGTTCAAGCTAGAGGGCCTCCCGTACATCATCAGCACTGGTTCTCTTTCAAGATGATGTGAATGTAAGCTATGTAAAAATTCTCATCCATGTTGGAGCAATGGGATTAGATGAAAACAAAGGCTCCTCACCCTGGAAAGGCAGCGTATACAAGAGTACCATCCTGTAATGCTGAGGGGTTCACGGAACCCCAGAAGTCCGTTCCTGGCCTGAGGGTCTCCACAGCGCCTCGTTGAGAATGCCCATTCAGTTCATGACAAGGATGGGACGAATTCAAAACTTTATGGTCATCTTAATTTTAGTTTCTGGGTTTCTTGTTCCTACCTTGAAATTACTTGTTTAAAGAGCATAGTGGGCTCATTTTGGTCTTTATATATAGGCTTCCTAAACATAAGCTCCAGTAGCATCGTGTGGGATGGGATGGGCGTTTCTGACTGCCTGTGCGGCATCGCCCTCTGAGGTCTCCCCTGCCAAC